ACTGGCAAATTGTTTTGAAAATCAAAATAAAATCTTTGTAATTTAATAAATGCCCGTTCACCTAATCATAATTGTTGTTATGAGTTGAGTAATTGGATTTTCTTGTGGAAAGGATGAATGTCATGATTATTTCATTTATGCTTTTGTTGTTTTATGAGAAAATTATAATAGATTTCTGCATAACAAGATTAAATAATAGCATCACATATATCACAAAGAAAGAATAATAATAATAATAGCATCATTGCAGCTAGGCAAGCCAAACAGTTAATTATTCATACTTTTTCACTAGATATGTATTACCTTTTATATAGAAATGTCGCCTTAAAATAAAATATAGGCAAAGTACGACATCTCACAGTGTATATATGTATTTTTATTTTTAAAAATTATGACGAGTTAGACAAATACTTATTTGCATCAGCCATAAATACTTATTTGCATCAGCCATAACTGTGCTATTGAGCCTGAGAATTTTTTCCACAGTAATTACAAATTTCAAAGGCATAATTTTCTATTTCTGGCCACTTTTCCTTTCAACCTCTCTAGTTTTAGTTGCGAAGATGGCTATCGGCCAAATATCGCCTATATCTCTCGAGTTATCGGGTGAAAGGGAAGGCGAAGCATTATTCGATTATGTCGCGGGACACCCAGAGTTGCTAGAGAATTACTAGCAAAAATTGATCATCTTTTTAACTGTATCAAATATCAATTCTCCAAATATTGAAGAAACAGAGCTATCACTTGTATGAAATAAATTTTTTTGTATGAGTTATACTAATTGTTAGACGGGTCATCTTGTCATATTATGTGAAAGAATGCATAAATATACAATCAAATGTCATATTAGTGTTTATTTTGATTTTTAAAGTATGACTATTTTCTAATGAAAGAATACATTTACAAATAAATGTTGGTCTAATGATTAGGCCGACGGGACAAAAAAGCTTTGAAAATGATTTTAGCCTCTTGTTACACCAAGTTCATTACATGAAAAGTAATATATCACTCGTAATAGCTCGGCGGATCAGTTAGAGCATGATTAACTCGTGTTAATCAGTCCAACACTACAAGAAAAATGATAAAATTTCAATGAAAAATTTCGACCGAAATATATTGTAGTGGAATTCCAACGGCAATTCCAATGTTATTATTTCCGTTGGAATTTTTTAATGGATTCCGACAAAAATATTCCGTTTGAATGAGTTCTTCATTGGAATTTCCGTTGGATTTTGACGATTCTAATGGTAGGTTTTCCAACATAAGTGGAAACAAAAATTCTAACGAAAATTGCATATTCCAACAAAAATTCTTACAGTTTTGGAAAAATAGTTGTTAGAATCATCATATTCCATCGAAAATTCCAATGAAAAATTCATTCCAATGGAATATTTTCGTTAGAAATTTTTGTTGGAATCATTCCAATAGAAGCTATACCATTGAAATATCCGTTGAAATTTCTATTGGAATATATTACCGTAGGATTTTCCGTTGGAATACAACATTTTTTTGGTAGTGCACTAATATAAAGATGAAATTCCAAAGGAAATATATTCTAATGTAATTCCAGCGAAAATTTTGATTGAAATTGAAATACTGTTATTTCTGTTGGAATGAATTTTCCTTTGAAATTCGGTTGGATTCTGAAAATTCCAACAATAGATATTCCAACGGTTGAAATATGAATAAAAATAAAAATTTCAACAGAAATTACATAGTCCAATGAAATTTTTACGGTAAAAAGTCATTAATAGTTGTTGAAATCATCAAATTTCATCTAAAAATTCAATGGAAATCTCATTCCAACGGAATATTTTCGTTGAAATTATTCCAAAAGAAATCATATACCATTAAAATATTCGTTAAATATATTAACGTGGGATTTTTCATTGGAAAATAGTTATTTTTGTATTAGTGATATTACCTAATTTTGTATAGAGCTGTCAAAACGGGCCGACGAGACAGGCCGACCGGTAGCCCGCCATCTTGGCAGGCCTAAGAAAAGTAGGCCCATCCCACCCCACTGGGACAGCAGGTTTGNAGTGAAAACATATACTTGTGTATTTTTTTATTTTCATTTTTTGAATGTTTACACTTGTGTTGTCAACCTAGTTGTATACTAGATTGACAATGTAGCATTACTCGATTGATTACTATTGATTGATTAAATTCTAATATTTCACTAAAGTTACGAAACTGCTTTTAAATCTTTCTCATCATGTAACATGTAATTGAACGTTGAAAAATCGGTATAAGTCAAATGATTACTAAAATGATATTTTTTTTCCCTCCAAATATGTAGTAAAAAAAATAGGCCTGGGACCGGTCCGGTTTTTAACGAATTTTTCAGGAACCGGAACCGGAACCGAACCGAAATAACCGGTTCGGTTATTACACATATATTCATAGGAACCGAAAAAAAACCGAACCGTGTTATACCGGTTCGGTTCTTCCGGTTCTTTGGATAACCGGCTTATGAAAAAAACCCGATAATAACCGGTTTTGAGTTAATAACCGACCAAAAAATTGCAACTTATGTGCTAAATGTATCGTAAAAAACCGAGAACCGAAAAGAAAAATGAGGAACCGATAATATACACCAAGAACCGGAACCGATTTATATATGTAAACATAGAAAACATGTATATTTCATGTATATAGTCGGTTTTTCGGTTAATGCACAAACATTTGGAAAGGAACCGAGAACCGGAACCGGTTTGTACAAAAAATAACCGGAACCGAAAAAAAAGTTTTTTTTTTTTAAATAACCGAACCGAACCGGTTATTTTCGGTTCGGTCCGGTTCGGTTCTCCGGTTCTCGGGTATAAAATCCCACCCCTAAAAAAAAATCAATTCTATCTAATTTCTCGAATGGCCCATATCTGTTTTTGGGAGAGGTGTTCACTGGTCTGAGGTCTCACCATGGATTCATATCTAAATTTGTCCCTACAAATTTACATTATTATCAAAGAGAAAATACATTTTGTATCATTCTATGCTTGAAATTAATGTGACAGATGGCAATTTTGGGTCAATTGCACGAAACGTACTTTTTAGCTCCCTGTGTTCTGTTTCATGGTTTAATACATATCGAAATAGATGTATCAATAATTATCTTACCATATATATAAACTTAGTTGGCCATAATTTCATTTTTAATCCATTTATTCAAGCAAAGATTTAATTTTTTGGTATATATATCAAACTTGGTACATTAATTTAAAAAATGGGGAAAGTCCACTTTTGGTCCTCCATGTTTAGGGGGTATCCAGACTGAGTCCCTATTATGTTTTGGTGCCCAATTTTAGTCCTTAAAACAAAAAAATGTAGTCCCTATAATAGGAAAAAATCCACTTTTAGTCCTCCATGTTTAGGGGTATCCAGACTTAATCTCTATTATGTTTTGATGCCCAATTTTAGTCCTTAAATCAAAAAAATGTAGTCCCTTTACCTCAATTTATGTGAATTAACGGTCCATTTTTGCTCGACCGTTATGTTCTTTATTTTTTTAAAATATGTTGACTAATGTCAACTTTGACCAAAGAAAAATAAAAGAAAATTTAAATGCTGAAAAAAGGTAAAATAAAAGGCAGAAATGGTGAACTGCAGTGAAACGTAGAAAAAAAAACCCTAACCGCCTAGGGACTAAATCCGATCAAATGGATGGAAATGGTGTGGTATTTTGTAGATGTGAGCTGGTTGCAAAATTGACTACATGCTGGAAGGATGATAATCCCGGGAGAAGATTCTTGAGTTGCCCTCTATATCCTGTAAGTACTTTCCATGAACTTCAATTGGAATATGATAAGAAATGGTTAAAAAACAGAGGGTTGATAGGTGCAATTTTTTTCGATGGCATGACCCTAAAATGGGTGCAAGAGCAGTAGCTGTGATTCCAGGCTTGCTCTGCAGCGCGAATGCTAGGGAAATAGAAATCAGACGAGCAAAAATTTTAATTTAATTTGGTGCAATTTCTTGTTTTAGTTTAATTTTTTATTAATATATTTTCAGCATTTAAATTTTTTTTTATTTTTCTTTGGTCAAAGTTGACATTAATCAACAAATTTTAGAAAAATAAAGAACATCACAGTCGAGCAAAAATGGACTGTTAATTCATAGAAATTGAGGTAAAGGGACTACATTTTTTTTTGTTTTATGGACTAAAATTGAGCACTAAAACATAATAGGGACTCATTTTTTTTGTTTTAAGGACTAAAATTGGGCACCAAAACATAATAAGGACTCATTTTTTTGTTTTAAGGACTAAAATTGGGCACCAAAACATAATAGGGACTCATTTTTTTGTTTTAAGGACTAAAATTGGGCACCAAAACATAATAGGGACTCAGTCTGGATACCCCCTAAACATGAAGGACCAAAAGTGGACTTCCCCCTTAAAAAATTATCAAATAAGGTCATTAGTGGCAGGATAAAAGCCGAGTTATTTAAATTTATCACGGCCTCGGTGTGGGCTGATTACGAGCCAATAACACATTGAAAATGTAGTTTGTACATACAAATTTGGACGGGCAATTAACTTAGCAAAGAAACTCCAATTGGTCTGAAATTTTGAGTATATGGCCGTCTCGATGAGAAGAATTCAACGGTGGAATCACATGCGTCAAATTGAAGTTAGACAACACCAGAATTATGCCGAAAATTGAATAGCTCAAATTATTTTTCTTTTTCTTTTTCTTTTCTAATTTTACAATTCTTTTTCTTTTCTCATCTAACAAAAATTGATTCTGAACTATTTTCATCATAACTTAGTAGTCAACATGTCATATGTCGGTGCTTTCTTTTTTTAATCTCTCAAAGTCCCTAAA